CCGCTTCTGCTGCAACAAGCGCGCCGAGAAGCTCAACCAGAGCCTGTGCCGCAACTACAAGAGCCCCGAGTGGGCCCACCCCACCACCGCCAGTGGCGCGCTGCCCGCCGACGGCAGCAACGGCGCCGACGGGGACGCCAACAAGTACGACCCGGACAAGGACAGCACCAACGCCACCGTCTACATCTCGTGTGGGGCCATCGCCTTCGTGCTCATCGCCGGCGTCTTCGCCAAGGTGGCCTACGACAAGGCGCGGCGCCCGCCCCGGGAGATGAACATACACAGGTGCGATCCTCTCCCTGCTTCCAGCACCCCTTCTGTCTAGGGACACCCTCCTCGCCAAAGGTTCCTCCTTTGCACTGCCTCTCCAAGTGTTTCCCCTTTGCACCATCTGTCCAAGGGTTTCCCCGTCGCACCACCCATCCAAGGGCTTCCCATTTGTGCAGCCTGTCCAAGGGTTTCCCCGTTGCATGACCCGTCCAAGAATTCCGCCTTTGAACTGGCTGTCCAAGGGTTCCCCTTTTGCACCACTGTCTGAGGGTTCCCCCACTGCACCACCTGTCCAAGGAGTCCCCTTGTGAACTACCTGTTCAAGTCTTTATCCTTTGCACTGGCTGACCATGAGTTTCCCCCTTGCACCACCCTTCCAAGGATGTCCCCTTTGTGAGGGCTGTCTAAGGGCTCCCCTTTTGTGCCACCTGTGCAAATGATCTTCCATTGCGCTATCGCTTCAAGGGGTCCCCCCTTGAACCACTCATCCAAGGGTTTTCTCCTTTGCGAGGGCTGCCCAAGAGTTCCCTCTTTGCACCACCCGTCAAAGGATTTTCCCTTTCCACCATCTATCCAAGGGTTCCCCCCTTGCACGGTCTGTCCAGGGACAACCCCACCCCTTGGACCATCCCTCCCGACCCCCTCCCACGACCCATCTAGGGCCCCGTCCTGGTGCCCCCCTCGGGGCAGCACCGTGGGACCTCGCCCCTTCCCCTCCGCGGCGCCCCTCCACGGCGCGGCCCCGTGGGGTGGGT